GTTATTAAATACGGGAGAGATACTTTAATACCTGAAATTGTCATAGACTCGTTAAGAAGTAAAGCTATGAAAATGCGAGCTGAGAGAGTCGGGAGAAAAAGTGGCGAGGTCCATATGATGAGAGGTAGGTCTCAATCTAAGACCTGTGATAACCAAAGTGGATATGCATCTGGCAGTAAAAAGAAAATTAGAAGTTTATCTAGGTCAAAATGTAAAACGAAAGGTTAAAAATGCTATGGGTGTGTAAAACTGGACATTTCATTAAAAATTGTTATGTTGAGAAAAATAAACAAAAAGAAAAGGTTCACGACAAGGCAAATGTTGTTACTTCCTCTGATGAATTTTGTGAAATTTATCTGTTATTAAACTCTGAACATACTGAAATAAATCTAACCATGAAATCATATTTAAATGAATGAATTCTTGATTTTGTGCATCATTTCATGTTTCATCACATAAAACCTAGTTTGAAAATTTGCAAGAATATGAAAGTGGTCATGTTATTTTGTGCAATAATCATTCATATAAAATTGCTAGTATTGGTGATATCACGTTAAAATTTAACACTGATTATGTGCTTAAATTACATGGAGTCAGATATATTCCTGAAATGGCTAGGAATCTTATTTCAGAAGGAGCATTAAAAACTAATGGTTTTACTAGTAAAATTGAAAACAATATGCTAAAAATGATTAAGGGTGCTCTTGTCACATGTAAAGGTACTAAAAGAAACGATATTTATGTGACTACTACTGAAATTGTTGAAAATTCACCTTCCTCTATAAATTTAATTAACACAGATGACACACACAAGTGTCATAAGAGATTAGCTCACATAAATATTAAAAGACTTAAACTGCTAAATGATAAAGATGTATTTGGAAAAGACCATGTGTCCAATATGCCTTTTGTAATCATTGTGTACTTGGTAAACATCATAGGTCATCTTTTTCATCTGGCATGCACAAAACTACTAAAGTTTTGGAATATATTTATACTGATTTATGGGAGCCTGCTACTACTCCTGCAATGGGTGGTAATAGATATTTTTTGTCCATAATTGATGATTATTCTCGTAGCGTGTGGGTTTATTTGCTAAAAGATAAAATTGAAACCTTTAAAAATTTCAAAATATGAAAATTGCAAGTTGAAACTCTAACTGGCAAAAAGATAAAATATCTAAGAACTGATAATGGCCTAGAATTTCGTAATAATGATTTTGATGATTTGTGTGAAAAATGTAGAATTAATAGACATAAAATTGTTTCTTATACACCTCAATAAAATGGGTTGGCTGAACGTATGAATCGTACTTCACTTGACAAAGTTAGATGTATGATGTTAAGTTCTGATATTCCTAAATCTTTTTGGGGTGAAGCTGTAATGACTGCATGCTACCTAGTTAATTTGACACCTTCTACAGCATTATATGGTGACACCCCACATGAAAAATGGTATGGTAAATGTGCTTACTATACTGTGTTAAAAACTTTTGGTTGTGCTACTTTCTCTTATCAAAATGAGGGAAAACTAGAACCTAGAGTTAGAAAATGTGTTTTCTTAGGATATCCTGAAGGAATTAAAGGATGTAGGCTTTGGGATAGAAGTTACACTGGAGTTAAGATCATTATAAATCGTGATGTTACATTTAATGAGTCTGAAATGCCGTGTCTAAAATCAGAAAGTGATACATTGAGAGAAAAACAGCAAGAAAACACCAGTGACAAATCCCAAGTAGATTTAAGGCCTTAAAGTATTCAAACCCCCTACCACCTCAATTAAGGTGAAGCATCAAAATCCTGAATTAGAAGATAATCAGAGTGAAAATATTCAAAGAAATGAAGTTATAAAGGAATATCAAGGAGAGCAAAACCATCTGTCTGATTACCAGTTAGCTAGAGACAGAGTTAGAAGAACACATAGGGTGCCTCAAAGGTTAGAGTCTAATTTTGAACTTTCTTATGCTTATAACGAACTAGTTGATAGGGAACTAAAAACGTATGAAGAAGCTTTGAGGAGTGAACAATATGAGGATTGGGTGAAAGCGATGAAAGAAGAGATAAATTCTCTCAATAAAAATTAAACATGGGAATTAGTCCCAAGATCTAAAGACAAGTCTATTATTGTGTGTAAATGAGTTTTTAGAATTAAGGAGAGAATTACCAAAGGAAAGACTTTAAAGTTTAAGGCTAGACTTGTAGCCAAATGTTCACAGAAAAGGAAGGGGTAGATTGTTATGAAATTTTTTCTCCAATTGTTAAGTATACCACAATTAGGACTATGCTTTTATTACTTGCGAATTTCAATTGGGAACTTGAACAACTTGATGTTAACACTGTTTTTCTGCATGGAGAACGCGATGAAAAGATTTTTATGGATCAATCTAAGGGTTTTGAAAATAAACAAAAATCTGATCATGTGTGTTTTCTTAAACGCTCTCTTTATGGTCTAAAACAATCTCCTAAACAATGGTACAAACATTTGATTCGTTTGTTAAAACAGTTGGTTTTAAAAGGAGTAAACTTGATCATTGCTTATACTATCAAGGTAATGCAAACAATAATAACCGTATGTTTTTGTTGCTATACGTAGACGATATGCTTTTGATTGGTCCTAACTTGAAGTTGTTAAATGATGTAAAAATTACTTTGAGTAATAAAATTGATATGAAAGACCTAGGTAATGCTAAAAGGATTTTAGGCATGGAAATTCAAAGAGATAGATCTAATTCAATTTTATTTTTGCATTAGGCTCCATATATCATGAAAATTTCGAAAAAAAAATTGGCATGAATGAATGCAAACTTGTTACATTGCCTTTAGCTAATCATTTTGTATTATCTAAAGAACGATCACCTGCTAATGAAGATGAAGAGGAATATATGAAAAGAATTACATATACAAATGCCATTGGTTCTATGATATTTCTAATTGTGTGTACTAGACCTGACTTAGCCTTTGCTGTTAGTACACTTGGTAGGTATATGTCCAACCCTGGTCCCAAACATTGGGAAGCTTTGAAATGGCTATTTAGATATTTGAAAGTAACATGCAATATTGGCTTAATATATAAGTTTAGTACTAAATGAATAAAATTAAAAGGTTTTACTGATGCTAACTATGCTGATGATAGAGATAGTAGGAAATCTACATCGTTCTATATGTTTACTTTTGTGTAATTCACGTGTTAGCTGGAAATCAGAACTTCAACATGTTGTTGTATCATCCACTACTAAATCAGAATACATTGCTGCTATTGAAGCCTTTAAATAATCTTTGTGGTTTAAATGTGTATTAAATGAATTTGGTGTTTTTAATGACAATGTGACAATATATTTTGATAGTTAATATGCTATTCACTTATGCAAAAATCCTGTCTTTCATGAACATACTAAACATATAAATGTTAGATCGCATTTCATTAGAGATGTGGTTTCTCAAGAACTGGTAAAATTTGAGAAAGTGCTTTAAGAATATAATCCTGCAGATATGGGATCTAAGGTACTTCCATTGATAAAGTTTAGAAGCTGCCTCGATCTTCTAAACATCAATACAAATTTGTAAGTCTATTTCCTTGAGCTATTTGTTATCTTATCTGGCCTACAAGTTGATTTGGCATCAAGGTGGAGGATGTTGGACATTTTGGTAAGTGATGCCCAAATCCTCTAGGCAATTATGAAAAATCGAGGCCCGTTTAATTTCATAGGCTATAAGCTCAGGATTGAAGAATTATAAAACCACACCACAATTAATGTAACCAATTTGTATTAAGTATTTAGAGGAAATCAGCCCATTGAACTAGGTGTTCAATACCCGACTTTGGAGATTATATGAAAAAGAGATTCCTATCTCTTTGTCTCATGTGAAGATAGATATGGTTGCACTATCCTCATCTTTGTAACAAGTTTTAGTTTTCTTGAACTCTATCTTGCCAAAATTCTGGGAAAATCTGTTGGTCCTGTCGTCTATATATTGGAGACTTTTGGCCTCATTTCAACACACCAAAAACCGGCTCCTTTCTTTGTGAACAGTAACCAGCTCCTTGCTTTGTGCATTTTACCTTCCAAATTACCTCTGTGTGTGTGTGCCTCTATCTTTATGAGCGATATCTCCAATTGCAAATTCCATAGACTAACTAATTGATTTGTTCAATTGTAGTTGGGATTAACTCAACATGTTACATTCATGTAATCTTTTATCTACAGACTTGCTGCATTGCATTTTTTTACATTTAAGATAAAAAGTGAGTATCTTACGGAAGGCTCATTTGTAAAATGCATCTTCTCGTGTGAACTTATACTACAGAAAAATACTAGGGCAGATTTTTTACAACAAACATGTAATACGATTACTTACCCTCAACTGTTGAATTATGTCACATTAGTTTTCATTTTGTAGACTCAAAAGCAATACAGAGAATTCATAAAATTTTTCGAGTTTCCTGGTGCAAGTTTTTATTTTTGATGCCCAATCATGTTCACGGTTAAAATCCACAAAGATCCAGCAAAAAGAAACCAGTTTGATGTAATAAGCAAGTCATTCCTTATATTCAAGTGTGCTGAAAATATTCTGTTTAGGAAAAGAGACCAGTTTTTGGTTTTTATTCAGGACAAGGATAAAATTTTCCAAGGTTTCTGAGACGGCACTTGAAAATCACAAACATTTCATCCCAAGGCCACATTTAATTGCCAACTATCATGCAGTAAACTGCTATGATCGCAGTATCTCTTCGAAAATTTCATTTGAAGTACTGAGATTCTTACAAAAGCAATGTGACCCACTGACTTTCAATATTTACAAAAAAGCAAAGTAAAAACAACAAAACAAGCACTTAGTTTAAAACATATATCATCGCTAATACAGACTTTGGAAAGACCATATGTTGAAATAACACTGTTACAATGACCATAAATTACATAAACAATAAACCAAATGTCACAGCTGTTATAAGATGTAATTGAAAATATAAATACACGCTATTAGACTACAATAACCCAGTAATAAAGCAAAAAAATTCTCAATTTAACATCAAAATTTGGTTTTTACACTAAATAAACATTATCAAACAGACATTTCTGCCAACAAATCGTGTGCACATGATCCCTCACTAGTGTTTCACAAATAAGAACTGATCCCAAAAGAAAATGCAGGAAAATTTAAAAAATCCCCATGCACGCAATGGGATGTTAACAACTGCAATGTGGCATATTACAGCATACCTTTTCTAAAACTATAATTATTAATATAATAGTCCTCGAACAAGTACAAGATCACCCGGGGTTTGAATTAATTTTCAGAAAAGCATCATCTGCAAAAATGAGAAACTCAAGCAGATCCAGTTGAATATTTAGAAAAATTCCTCTCAAGCCCTGAGGAAAAAAAAAAAAAAAGAAACAATTTAAAATATATACAAGGAAAGATATATCATAATATGAAGTAGAGTTAATAAATGGTATTGGATATCATCTCTATCATTTTCCAACAGATATGCTAAAACACATCTATAAAAAAAGATTTTGCGAAGCACTGGGTTTATCATTTTCATTGCAATATTGTTTTCTAAAAAAGCAATGTAATTGAATCCAGGGATCATAAATGTCCTTAATGATGTTCAGGATCTGAAAAAGATCAATATGCGAAAATGAGCTTTACGGTATAATGAATCTGTAATACAATTCAAATTGTGCATGAAATTATACATAATCTAACAATATATAGGTCTTGCTGAAGTCAAATGATAGAACCCACCCACATGCATTTCTGTGAATTTTTAGATAGGAGAGAACGGAAGCCTTTCTATGAGTGGAGAAAAACAAAATTCCTAATTTTAAAAGAAACATGAAATGTCAAAAATTGAAAAATGAACTGCAAGAAGTCTCTCTATCAGTTCCATACCTAATATAACTAGAAATACCAAGACTGAAAGAATGGATATGGCAAGAAAAAAGTAGAATTGATACTAAATATATCAAAGAAATGTGCATTTCAACTTACTTGCTAATGTAAGAGTTGTCAGTGGTATTGACAAGAATCTTATCTCCTGATAAAATATGAGCCGGTACCTATAAAAAGATATACAATAATTATATCAAGTAAATGCAAAAAAAAATTTGAAAAGGCCTGGCAACTTGGTAGGATTCAAACTTTGCAAGAGTTCTTCAAGATGAAAAGAACACAACAATGTGTAGGCTGCAATTTTTGTTGTGAAGCTTCCGCTTGTTGGTGAAAGCAACTGTGGATTACTTTCACAAATAATTTGAGCATTTTTTATCTGAAGCTAGCAAATACGCTGTAAACATTCTTCCTGGCCAAGGATCCTAAGTGGATTGGCCCTCATACATGCAATAGGAAATAAGTGGTCTCATACACAAGCAATAAGAATTGCTTTCAACTATAAAATTTCTACTGAAAAGTTCCTCTATCTAACTTTTTAAACAATACTAGAAGTAATTACACAATGCATTGTTAAAAGTTTTGACCCAGAAACATTTTAGGATCAATTTAAGACTTTAGACTATCATGAGAATAGTTAGACAATGGTATCATGAAGTTAATTGACAAAATTACATTAGGAAAGTAGCTTACCTGGATCGTGAGACCATTATCCAACAAAACCTTCTTATAACTGCAAAGTGAAGAATGATTAAGAACAATGCTATAGTAATTGTCAAAATTTGTGTAGGTTGGCATACAAAAATACACAATCAAGAGTCAATATTTAGACCATCTGAGAATACAAGGTAAAGGTAACACCGATAGTCCTATAAATTAGAATGCAATGAACAAGAATGAGACTTGTAGAAGGAGAAAAGGAGGGAGAGAGAGAAGAAGGGGATAGAATCCAGAGAATTCAGAAGGAGAACATATGAGTTTATTCAATAATCAAGTCTAAAATTACAATGCATAGACCCTCTTATATAGGGTTTCAATTAACCTAATTTAATCTGAAAATAACAAAAGAAATAATATAAAATTCTAGAAAATCTATAAAATAAAATCTAATTACTTTTCCTAAAATAAGTATTTAAATTGGAAAGTCTTCCAAATAATATCTCTACTAAGATTCCCATCATTTATGTTAGCCATATCGGAGATTCCAATTAGTTCATTTCAGCCACAACCCAAGATTCAAAAATAGTTAACTTACTGAGGAGTCGCTCCAATTCCCTTTATAGGCTCAGCCGCTTCTGTTACAGTACACGTCACTCGATGAGGAACTGATGCAGACATTGGTCTTTCATCATAGAGCTGCACAATCACTTTCATATCATCTGTGAACCATGGAAGCAACTTATATGTAGGTAAAATAGTGATTAATCAAGAATTAGCACAGCGACTCATATCATATTATATGCGTTTATACATATCTTCCAAGTTCAAAGATTAGATACATGGTGATCAACAAGCAGATCTGCAATTATTTTTAAACCGTGGAGCTTTTAAAACAGAAGCTTCCGATGACTTGGTCATTGAGTGTTTGGTGCTGATTATGATTCTTTAAAACTATAATTTTAATTTATTGACACGAAACAATTTTTATTAATTGTAGAAGCATAAATACAAATGTTAATACAATAAGAAATTATCTAATCATCTACCAAAATAAATTGAAATCAAGAATACAATCAATTAAGGATAATTAACTAGAAAGGAGCACTTCAAACTCCTTATTCCTTAGCATACTAGGCCAACAAGAGGTTACAAGTCCTGTGAGCTAACCCACCAGCCAGGACTTAGCGTAAGAATGAACTTGGCATTCCAAGTTAAGAAGAGAAAACAGATCCTTCCTCATCCACGATCTAAAGCCATTAAGCAAGAATTTGACTTTGAGTTACTTTGCTTTGCAATCACAGTTTTGGTATCTGAGCCGCTGGGCATTTTAATTCTCTACATATTTCTCACTTACGAAAGTTCCCTTGTTTCTAGTTTCCATTTTTAAACATATGAGTTGTACTGGGGAGAGGCATATGCAGAATAGACATTCAACAAGAAAGTGTCAAGTGAAGGAGACAGGTACAAACCAGAGTGTTTGCTAGGGGAATGGATTACCTTGAAGATAGACAACAGATTCACCAAACAAGTGTTTTGGTACGTCCAGCTGCCCGTATGTTTCAGAGCTAGATAATACAGCAGATTTAAAACACATCAATGAACTCCCTTCATGCAGGTGCCTAATCAAATGTGCTTAGAAAGTGTTCTAAGTTTAAAATTAAAAAGTGTATAGCAAAACTCACTCCATTAGCACAACATTTCCAGTTTCATCATCAGTGTAGAGGTACGTTAGAGACTTCTCTTTGACATACACTTCTGCAAAATCCAAATGCTATTGTCAAAAGAATAAGTAGAGATTTCAGAAATGTCACATTCGGAGTTGGGTTTTTGCATATTATTCCTAACTGAGCAAAGTGTGGCTTTAGAACAATATGAAAGACAATAGCACAAAACGAAATTATTTGCTATGATCTATAATTCCATGCATGTTAATTGTAAGATCTTTCTTATATAGTCTTGTTGGATAATACTTGCACAGACTAGACCATTTTAAGCTAGATCTAACAAGTTGTTCAACAAATTGACCACAGTTGTTAACTTTGGAGTGAGACGGACAACAGTATGCTGCAGGAGATCCTAATCAGAACAATTAGTAAATTAACCGTGTGACTTGAATTTGAATCTAACTTGACATTAACTCTGCCAATTGAGAATCTCCGAAAAAAGCCTCAACAGTTTTACGTTGACAACTGCAACCAATTGGGACAGGGTGCAAAAACGACCAAGATTACGGGGTAACACCAGAAAAAGACTCAAGATTTCTCTTTCGTTGCTTAAAAGTTACATTATCATCTATAACTGAACTCAAATGATGCTTTTGCATACGAAAAGCTCATCCACAATGGTTTTCGTTTTGAAGTAGATAGAGATACAAAGATATGTCTCTTAAGGCCCACAATTGTATAGCTTAAATAAAATCCTTTTGCATCAGGAACAGCCACTCTCAAACACATTCTAAACAACAAACCCAATTATTTAGTTTTCTTAACAACTACTGGTCTTGAATATGAGATGTAGAAAAGAATAGATCAAGGAAAGAAATGCTTAAAAAAGTTCAAAATATATTTTCCTTTCATTCTATCATTATTGATCCCTTTCCCCTTGTTTATGAAAAATAACCAAAGTCAAGCCGTCCATCCTATTCAGTTTTTAGCTGCCATTAACAGAATTGAGGAAAAGAAAATTCTTTCCTCCTCTCTTTCATTAACTCTGAAAGTAAAAATAAAACATACAAGAAGCTTGATGGTGTACTACGCATGGAAAAAGATGATATTTCATTGTCCTTTCAGTTGAGTTTAGCTTTACATTCCCTAAAATAAGCAGATTCCAAAAATTAGGAAGAAATATCAATCAACACACAACATATGACAAAACTATCCAACTTTTTTCATCATTGAGAATGACAGGGTGAAATTGCATACTTTCAACTGTTTCGTCGGTTCGCAGTCTTTCATTTAATTTGTTTCCACTATCAATATCCCGGAGCTCCACCTGTAAATTCTAGCATTTCTTAGTTATACCAGGCATTTAAGATTTCGAGAAGGCAGCATATCTTACCAAAAGACATGTCAGATCCAATACAAAAATAAATAGTTGTGCTCGACAAAATAAACACAGCACCGCATTTCCATAGTTTCAGAAACTGATCATTCTAAGAATTAATAGATCCTCTTTGGATGCATGNCGACAAAATAAACACAGCACCGCATTTCCATAGTTTCAGAAACTGATCATTCTAAGAATTAATAGATCCTCTTTGGATGCATGTTCAGATGCATGCAAAAGGGAAAACTTCACCATTGAATCAGCAAAATGTGAAGTTGCCCTTGAACCAGTAAGAAAAATAACTATATAACAATAATTTTCTAATTTCCAGGAAGAACGGTCCACTAAAAGTGTACACAAGAAACTGTGTGGTTTTCTCGACATGTGATCCTATTGATGTTTAGAAAGGAAAAAGGTAAAAATTTAAAAAGACTAACATCCCACAAAGAAAAGGCAGTACATAAACCATTACTGGACAAAAAGTAAAATAGAAATTTGATATAGGCCCCATTTGGGAGCCATTTTCTTCAAAATGCATTTTTCTCTCTCTTCTTTTCAACCACACATTCTTTATTAAAATAATATTACACGTAAATCAAAAAAATTTCCTTATTTTTCAACCACACATTTCACATCAATTTACTATTCTAAAATGCATTTTTACATAAAAATGTCTATCAAACATCCCCATAATACCATGACTGATAGAGATTAGCAAGAGACCTGTATTATTGCCCCCCCTCTTCCTTGGGTTGTATGCTGCGCTTTTATGACCTGAAGAAAATTCAGATTCACAAATGACATCGTATCTTGTGTATAAATTTTTTTTCAAAAAAAAAAAACTTACAACAGTCGAACAAAAATAAGAAAGAAATAATATGTCCTTGTTGACAGGTTACCTCATAAATCTTTCCTGCAGTGAATCTCGTGCGAACACCACGCCATAATAATATATTAGTATGTAAAACAGTTATCTATGTGTAACCCTACACACTTAAAGTGAATTTAGAAAAATCTAACCTCTCCTTTCAATGACATTTCCTGGTCTCACCTGCACCAAATAAAAATAAAAATGAAGATAACATGACTGAAATAGCAATACTAGTAGGATACCAACGTCCAGGCCAATTAATCCCGTTCTTCCATGTGCTGACGTGATGTTTTTCCACCTTCCAGCAGTTCAAAACTTTTACCTTTACCCATGCACTTTTTGTTTAAAATGTGCCATAAATTTGTTCAACAATAGACAAAAATTGCATGTTTCCTAGAACATAATTGAGACATGGCAGATCCCAGTGACACTTTGTAGAAGGAAATACAATTGACACCATCTATGATGCTCAGAATCGGGTACGAGTATCAGATATAAGTACCTATCTAAGAGTCGGATATTGTATTTTCTAGAATGTAGGATACGGGAACATGACTAAAAAGAGTCCAAATTTCGGACACGGGTACGTCTTTCAAGCTTCAATTTTTCAACTAATCCAAGATGTCATTTTGAATATGCCAAAATAAATTATTCACAAAGAAGAAAATGAGTATTAAATAAGGGGTTGAGATGAATAAAATAGAATTTTTGGATTTAATTTTCAATTATAAGAATTACTAAATGTTCTATAAGATAAAAAATGAGAGATTTGATTGCAATTTGGACTTAGTGAAGCACTAAGTAGTACTATATGAAATCCATTTTCATTTTATACAAACAAAACCCTAAACCACTACTACAGAAAGAGAAAGAAGGAAAAAAATAAGAAAGTGGAAAGAAAGAAGAAGAAAAGAAGGAAAACCCTAGCTCCATCGCCCTCCTCCATCCTCTCGACGGTGAAGCTAGGTTTGTAAAGAACGAAAATGGGAAAGAAGAAAAGGCAAAGTAAAGGGAGAGGAAGAAAAAAAACAAATAAGAAGAAAGAAGAAGATGCAAAAACGATGAAGTCTGATTGAAATTTGGAGGATCCGACACATATCTCATATCCATACTTTGACATGGGTACTTCGACTATTTCGAAGAGTCCGAGCATCAAAGGATACCATAACAAAGAACCAGAAAACGAGAAAAAGAAAAAGGAACATAATGATACACCATACTCCTACAGAAAATTCAAATTCGTGTGCAATCCCAACATATATTGTAGGTCTCTCATGGCTGGTTGCGAAGTGGGAATGCATCAAAGAATCATTTTCAAGGCATAGGAAGAACATATATAAAGAGGAAAAGTACAAGAAGGGCTTTAAGATAAATATAAACAATAAAGTCATACAAGAGAATTTCTAAGGAAGTGTAAAAATTATCCTAGTGCAAGCCAAATTATAACTTGAGTAATTTATTTCCAAACACGTTTAGATAGTTTATAACTCTTACCTTATTCTTGTTCTCAAAACAACTAACTTGCTTATTTTTAAACTTTCACTTGTAAAAAACATATATTTGTTTCAAAACTTACTATCAATTTTCTAAAAAATAAAAAAATAAAAATAAATTAAGCTTAGCAAACAATCAGTATGCAGTCCGTCGAGTTAATTGTTCCAATTGTCACTGAATTTTGGTCTATGTCTTTGATTGGTCACTAAAGTTTAAAATGTCGAGTTTTGATCACTAAACTTAGGTCAATGTGTTCGATTGATTGCTCACTGAAATTTAAAATATCGAGTTTTGACCACTGAACTTATAAATATGTCGTACGTTACCCACTAGCATAATTGTTGAACTTTGAAAAATATCGAGTTTACAGTGAGTAATATATAACATTTTTCAAAATTCAGTGAATAGTGTATAATATTTTTTAAAGTTTAGTGAGTAATGTACAATATTTTTCAAAGTTAAGTGGTCAAAACTCAACATTTCAGTGAAGAATCGAAGACAAGAATCTAAGTTCAGCGACCAAAACTCGACATTATGAACTTCAGTACCAATAAAAAATATGGATCTAAGTTCAGTGACCATTGGAACAATTAACTTCGGTCTGTTTGAAAATAAATATTTCTTTCAGATACTCGTAAACATTTAGGGTCTGTTTGATAGGCCATTATTTTCCATGAAAAATGAAATTCAGATTTCAACTTTTTGGCTTGATAGCTTTTTTCCAGGTAATTGATTTTCTGGTCACCTAGACATTTTCTTGGTTTTTCTTGAAAATAAATTCCACCAATATGGTAGGAATTGATTTTCTCGGCTTCTATCCCTAATTGAAAAAAAAAAAAAAAAAAAAATTCCTTCCACAATTTCTATGTAAAACAAAGTCAAACGAACACCAAAAGATAAATAATTTTCTTATTTTTTTTGGCATTGAAAACAAATTCCATCTCCATTACCAGTAAATTTTATCCCTTTAATTGACAATTTTCATGTAAAAAAAAGTCAAATGAACACTAAAAGACACTTTTACTTCAATATTTTCTACGTAAAAAATAATACAAATCAAACACAATAATTGACAATTCTCGTGAAAACAATTTCTGGCAATTCAATTATCCTAAATTTCTTTTTCTTTTCATCCAAATTCCATTTTGGAATCAAACCGACCTTACAAAAAGACCTAATCTTTTCCAATCATCCTAATCCCATTTATGCCTGTCCAATTTCCCAATTTCCACGAATATTCAAACATTTAGATTAGCATTTAACTTACATCAGCGCCGGAGAATCTAGCACATCGGAGCTGGATGGCAGACCACGGTGAGGCGAGAAGGTCACAAATTGGCGGCTGACATCTCGATTGTTGGCTGCAAGTGGTGACAGTTCTATGTGAGAAAAGTGAATTATGACTACCATTTATCGATCGAATCGAAGCGTGGTAGTAGAAAAGAGCCCGAGAGAGTCGTTTATGCAGGGCTTGCATTTTTTTATTACAGTTTCCTCTCTCGAATGAGATTCTTCTTAGGTGCGAGGGAAGTGGTAGCTGTGAACGGGGAGTGGGGGACGGACAATGCTTACGCTGTGTTATTTGTGTTGAAGGGAAATTTGTATATTTGATACCGTAAAAACAAAGGAGACTTTAGGTGTTCTCAGTTACTGTTTTGTAATTTTGAGTTTTAAACTTATTTTTATTGTTTGTTTTGAAATTATTGAAAATACATTCTTTTGTTAATTTGAAAATTTATTTCTTAAAATAAAAAATTGAAAAACATTTTTCCTTCGAAATTTTGAGAACTACCACAAGAACACCACCATGACATCACCAGCCATCGTCAAAATCAATCTCACTGCCACCATCATAAACCATCAACCACTGCCACCACCGTCTACAACCACCAAAAAATCGAATGCAATAAAAGTGCAAGAAAAAAGCCACTGCCACCACTGTCCACAACCACCAACACCATCGACCACAACCGTCCACTACCTCTACCACCACCACCACCACCACCGTCCACAACTGTCAACACCTTCAATTGCAAGAAAAAAGAACCAACAACACAATCAAAATTGGTTCGTGGACTCCCGGCTTGATTCGGCCCTATTGGCTCGAAATTGGTGATGACCCATGGGTTCATTTGGTGCGCTATGATGAGGCGGTGCTAGGGGTGGTGGTCCACGACCTTGGGTTGCATCGTCGGCGCCGAACATCATGGTTGAAGGGTCCGAGTTCGCTGTTGCGAAAAACAGCGCATCTCCTCGTTGCGACGCTGCGTCAGCATCACCTCCCTACACAGGTGCTAGCACCGATGATCTCCCTTCGTATTCGGCGTCACCCTTCGTCGCCGGTGTCATCCTTCGTAGCCGACGTCCAAGATAAGAGAAGGCAAAGTCGTGTTTTAGACAGAAAACAGAAAGAGAACGAAGGCTTTGAAATGAAAAATAAAGGCCTTTCGCGTATTTTCTATTTTTTTGAGTTTTGTACTGAAAACGCCCAAAACGATAAAGATGTCGTTTTGTGTTTTCTTCAGAAATTTTTTTTTTCGTTTTTGAAAATGGGAAAGATAACGCATTTTCACTGTTTTGAAAAATCAAAAATAGAAAATGGCTCGAAAATGACAAAGGGAACACACCCTAAACCTTTTATTTTGGAGCAAATTTTTAATTCAATCCTTTCATTTATGTCAACAACGATACCAAATATTTCATAAATTTGCATTCAAAGTCCAAATAGATGGGTACAGTCAATTTGATTGTTAATTGACCAGGTGATTGATATTGACCATAATTTTAATTAAACCTTCTCGTTTGGCCCTCGTTAAATTACATTTCATTTTTCTTTCTCATATTTTCAAACACACTAACTTTCATAAAATAATATTACACATAAATCGAAAAATTTTCCTTTTTTTTCAACCACTCATTTTTTAAAATAAACACTACTCCACCCATTTTCATTTCAAAAAAATGGAGGCCAAATGAGGGCTAATTTTAAAAGAATAAGATGGTAACTTTACAGTTTTTAACCAAAAAAAGGAAAAAAAAAAAAAAAACACACACACACACAACTGTGATATGTTAATAATTAAATCAGAAAACACAAAAAAAAAAAAAAAACCACCGATCACCATTTCTTTCTTCCCCAATCCTTTACCCCAAAATCACTACTTGGAGCAATTGACGCTACCGCTCCTTCCGGCCATAGCTTGCTCTTGCCACTGGCGGAGCCCCATACGGTCCAGTGCATGACAAGTGAACTTTAGGCCCATGTCCATTCCATATCCTTTTTTTTTCGAGAGAGAATGCAATGGTGAGATAGACAATATTTGTCGACTTCTCATAATTTTTTGGTAAGTAAAAAAAAAATGAACTTTTTTTGGGGGGGGGGA